TGTGTGTGTGTGTTTGTGTGTGTGTGTGTGTGTGTGTGTTTGTGTGTGTGTGTGTGTGTGTGTGAGTACATAAATACAAACGGTATTATCATAATGAAGTGAAATACTAATAATAAGCGAAAAGTACGAGGTTTTATTCTAGTCAGCACAGACCTATGACACAACTACGCAAACACGAAACCAAATTTCACTATGGTCAGATGAGGTGGTGCACTGTGTAACCCATGACACTGAACAATAACAGGAATTCCATCTAGTGACACACAGCATACTATAGCTAGACTTCACTCTTCACAGCTACTGTGTAGACTTTCATTAGCACAAATGAGATCTCTCTGTGTATACACTCAACAATAGATATTCAAATACATTTCAACTCTTTTGACACCGTGCTGCAGTAAAATAGTTCTTGTCTGTTTAGCACGCTCTTACTTTGCATGTGTATCATGCCCTCTCACCTCGTATGTTCTATTCATGAGTCTTGCTGCTGTTTTAAACAGGCGTATTATTATGAAGACTTCCTTTAGCTCTGTACTTTTAGTTCTCGGGGCGCATTGCGTCACAAGTTTAATAGGCAGAACAAGAATTGGCGACGGTTATGGTAGCGAGAGGTGAGCTGGAACTCTTTGAAGTTTGCAGTGCAGAATTTCAATTATGGTCATCGTAGCTTAAAATCGTTTTCTTTTTCGGCATCAGCGTATCGAAATAAGCATAGTGGCTGACCCAGAACCTGATTTGATGCAATATTTAAACTTGAGCAATCCTTGTTCTTTAATCATTTAATGACGTCACAGGAAATTCCTATAGTTGGTTTGAGAGCAGCCATGTTCTAAATTGATTATAAACATTGGCACACTCTTACTTTAAGTACATGTATCTCCTTTCACCTCGTATGTTCTATTCATGGGTCTTGCTGCTGTTTTAAACAGGCTTATTATTATGAAGACTTTCTTTAGCTCTGTACTTTTAGTTCTCGGGGCACATTGCGTCACAAGTTTAATAGGCAGAACAAGAATTGGCGAAGGTTATGGTAGCGAGAGGTGAGCTGGAACTCTTTGAAGTTTGCAGTGCAGAATTTCAATTATGGTCATCGGAACTTAAAGCCGTTTTCTCTTGCAGCATCAGCGTATCGAAATAAGCATAGTGGCTGACCCAGAACCTGATTTGATGCAATATTTAAACTTGAGCAAACCTTGTTCTATAATCATTTAAGGTACACCACGGCAGTAGCTGACAGCCAGAAAAGTCGGTTTTGGTGATTTTTCGATTTTGGACTATTTTAATAGAGCAACATCTGCTTTATCGATTGGAAATATTTTCAAGTGTCTAAAACATCTATAAAGTGCTCACATATGCTATGTTTGTGAACATTTTATTGAAATAGACCAGTCTGAATTCGTTTTTTTTAAAAATAGTTTTCTCAAAATAATGATTTTCTTAGGGGGAGGGGTGTCACCTGTGCAGAGATATTTCTGAAAGTACATGTCACAGCTCAATCCCACTTTGCATGACTGTTTCCAGATAATCTGTTTGCAACGTACTAAAAGATTATTGTGATATTGTAATATGTTTTCTGTCAGTGTAAAAAAAGATTGACAGTATCACTCTGATTTGTGATCAATTTTTTGTCCAAGTATCGATATGACACAAAAAGGGCAGTTACAAGAAAAATATGAGACTTAGGAAAGTAAATCTTAAGTACGTTGCAGGTTGCATATACAGAAACACTGTGTTAAAATATCAAGGCCGTATCAATTCAATCTTTTCAGAATCCCTGCACAGAATTTGCGCGAATTTTGCTCTGTCGAAGTCTTTGCATCTAAATAATTTTGAAAATTGACAGTGTGAAATTATATGGGGATAGTATGTTTCTGTTTCTTGACCCATATTGGTTATTGGGAAGCCCAGTATACTTAATTTAGAGCCCAAACAAAAATGTTTACTTCAGCTGTACCTAGTGTCCCTTAATGACGTCACAGGAAATTCCTATAGTTGATTTGTGAGCAGCCATGTTCTAAATTGATTATAAACATTGGCACACTCTTACTTTGAGTACATATATTATCTCCTTTCACCTCGTATGTTCTATTCATGAGTCTTGCTGCTGTTTTAAACAGGCTTATTATTATGAAAATTTCTTTAGCTCTGTACTTTTAGTTCTCGGAGCGCATTGCGTCACAAGTTTAATAGACAGAACAAGAATTAGTATGGTAGCGAGAGGCGAGCTGGAACTCTTTGAAGTTTGCAAAGCAGAATTTTAAATATGGTCATCGCAGCTTAAAACCGTTTTCTTTTTCGGAATCAGCGTATCAAAGTAAGCATAGCGGCCTGTCAAGAACCTGATTTGATGCAATGTTTAAACTTAAGCAAACTTTGTTCTAAAATTGTCGGTCAGTTTTACATCTGAAGTCACGAACAATTATCGAGGTCACCGACTGTGTGGTCTACCTGACGTCAAAGTTTTCACACTCTGCACCCCGTCACTGCACAGTATACAGTGTGGAGGCTTGGTCGAAAGACGCTATTCTTCTTTAAATTTAGATCTTTGACTGTTTAAATCATGATAACAGAAACTTTGAAAGCTGTATTTGTCTGTAACTAAACAAATATACACGTCAAAGAAACCAAACTTCTCCTATAGGTAGGGCAATGCCCACTTTTGGTGTAAGTCAAGATTTCTGGAAACCCACGAAATCTGGGTTAGCCCCCCATTTCTCAAGGTGATAAGTGAGATGCACCTCACTGTGCCTATTCTATGCTGTACTGTACGAGGGTCGTTCAAAAAGTTTTGACTCCTAGTTCATAATTTCTTTATTACTGATGCTACATACAAAAGTTATACACAAAATGAAAGCTTAGGATGTCTGCTACATGACAGTGCCTTTACTTTTCAACATAGTTGCCTTCTTCGTCGATGCAGATCCGCCAACGTCGAATAAGTTGTCGCATGCCGTCGGCGAAAAATTCATGTGGTTTTCCTCTGAACCAGCGACGAACATCTTCTTTAATTTCATAGTCATCTGCATGAGGTTTTCCTTTGAGGTACTCCTTCAACTTAGGAAAAAGATTTAAAAAGTCCGATGGTGCAAGGTCTGGACTGTATGATGATCTTGAAATCTGAGACTTTTCATGGCATCTTGAGTTTGTCAACTCGTGTGTGGACGGGAGTTGTCGTGGTGCAAAATTGCATTTTTTCTTGAGCCGAACTCGTGACAGCCGTCCTCTAAATTTTCTCAGGGTCTCAATATAACGTTCAGAGTTGATAGTGGAACCCTGTTCCAAAAATTCCATATGGATCAGACTATCGCAGTCCCAAAACACTGTCATAAGCACTTTCTTTGCTGATGAAGCAACTTTGAACTTCTTGGGGCTAGGTGAGCTAGTGTGCCTGTATTCTTTCGATTGTCTTTTGTTCTCTGGGTGATAATGGTGTACACAAGTCTCGTCTCCTGTGACTATATACGGCCTAAGAAAGCTTCACCTTCATCAGTATAACGAGCCAGGAGCTCATCACTAACTTGACTTCGGTTCATTTTCACCTCGGGTGACAACATACTTTCCTGTAACCCAACACATCATGGATAACATACAGAGCACTCCCTACAGAAATCCCTAACATTTCACTGACATCTCTTACTCTGATCGGCCGGTTTGCTTGGATGATCTCATCCACTCTCTTCTTGTGTTGAACAGCACTGGCAGAGGTGGGAGGACCACAACGAGCTTGGTCATGCAAATCTGTCTCGGCTGGACTGGTTTCAGCGAACCCCTTTGCCCATCTTCAAACAGTACATACATCTACACATGCTTCACCATAGACAAGCTTCATACGCCCATGGATATCAATGAGTGCAGCTCCCTCTGCAGTAAGGAACTCAAAAACAGCTTTTTGCTTTAAGCGCACATTCATAGGTTTGCTGGACGTCATTTTCTCGGCGACAATGTACTTTAGCTTCTATGATGTAAACAGCAATAGCATAAAGGTGTGACATTATAGCATAATTCTGTTTTTGGGGTGTTTTTTTTTTTAGTAAACACATTGAAGTCACTTATGTATGAATTTAATGAAGATATCTTGAATAGTTTAGAAATTATTGGAGAGGAGACAACATTTTTTGAACGACCCTAGTATATTAAAACGTTTGATGGAAATCAGCCACTCACACACAGAGGTGAAAGCTGACTTGTTGGACAGGGTAATCAGATAGAGACGAAGAGCGGAATAGAGATAACCCCCACGTAAGAATATCGACAAGAACATTTCTCTATAAAGTTAGGAAACCTTTTTAGACAGAGGTGTCGTCTTTAAAACGATGCTACCCACACGTTAAAGTGAAATAACGTTAACGCGTAGAGTTACTATTTCCTTCGTGCGTTGATTAGGAAAAATTAAGTAATCTAGAACTAACAAATACGTATTCAGACTGAATCTAAGTATCTGTAAATGACTTACCGTAGATAAGACCTAACCACTTGGCACAGAGGAATGGGTAACTATGACAATATTGATCAACGAGTCCTGAACTCAGTTTTAACGAGGGTCATGTGGTATAAGAAATGACTCACGTATGACCCCTCTAGTGACGACTGAGCAAAACTTATTGTCAGGTGGAAACTACCAACTGTTTACCTCTTTGAACCGGTCTGTGCATATGCTGGTAGATGAGGAGCTTTGTTAGCCAGGAAGTCCCCAGATGTTAAAAGAAAATAATTGCTCTGCTTCCTTTGTTAGAGGTGAAAGCCAGCCATTATTCGCGGTTTTAATACATGCGGGGAGCGCTGATCATTTACTTCTTTTTTCTCACTGACTTTGAATACTGATATTTTTTATCTTTGTACATGCGTTGAGCGTGAGGGCTACAGGGTCCCAGTTGAAAGACAGACATACTCGATGAAAATTCTGCCCACAAGTGTTTTGCAAGTAACGGCGAAATGCCCAATCGTTACATTACATGCGTCGATTTTGTTTTCTTTGTGCCAAACAAAAAAATTAATTAGCCTGTGCTGCGATGAGTTGTGTAATTCTTAAACTGATAAGCATGTCGTTTTTGTTTTGGGTACAGGTTTTATTATGTTTTAGTACAATTAGGCAAATAACAAACCCTTTTGATGTTTCGAAAGTCGTCATGAGATACAAATTGGTGGCGTCGGTGGCCTAGTGGTTAGGCTCTCGGACTCGCAACCGTAAGGTCGTGGGTTCGAATCCCATCAGGGGCCCGACGCTGTGTCCTTGGGAAAGGCATTTTGCACAAATTTTCCTCGCTTCACCCATGCGGAAATGGGTACCCGGCTATAGACAGTGAAAGATCTTGTCAGTTTGTTAGTGTTTGAGCGCGTGAAATCCGCAGCTTGCACTGTATGCTTCCTCGGAAACTGAGAATGTTTCTGAGTGTTCTCAGAGGGTCTGCTGGGGTAATAATAGTTGTAAAGCGCATAGAGCATGCTCTTGAGCATGGATATGCGCTATATAAATGCAATTATTGTTATCATTATTATTATTATTATTGAATTTTTAAAAAATGTAGATGTTTGTGCGTCCCCATGGACACAAGTACATTTAGACCAGGAAGTTGGGAGTTAATGTCAGTCTTAAACTGATAGGCTTATTGCTTTTGTTTTCGTTAAAGTTTTATTGACGTTTAGTAAGAAACAAACCCGCACCTTTCTGATATTGCAAAAACTGTCACGGGAAACATGCTGGTAAAAAAAAGTAGAAGTTTTTACGCCGGCATCGCCACAATTGAGACCATGAAGTATGGGTGGGCGTCTGTTTCTTTTATTTAGGTTTGGTTTTTATTAAGTTTTAGTTATAAGCAAAACCAAACTTTTTACGTTTCAAAAGCCGCAAGGAGATAAATGCTGGTGGAAAAAAATACAGATGTTTTAGGCCCCCATCGACACGACAATTTAGATCAGGAAATTAGGAGCCATGCTGGTGAAGTATCCAAAACTATATAATATTCAAAGATTATAGTCTTTCGAGCATGCTGTGGTAGTGGTAAAATTAAGCCAAAGAACAATGAAAGGTTCAATTTACATCTAAAATGGCTTAAGGCTTTGCCCAAACAAATCTATAACGTAAGTGTTGTTTCTGTTTTTGTTTTAGCTTTTTTTTTCATTTCTATGAGTTGGAGTTTGAGTTTGAGCAAAGAGAAGGCCCCTCCTCACCTCCTCTTCTGGTAGGAAAGATCTACACCTAGACTTCTCGGACAAGGGCGAAAAATCTCAGAGGTCCCTTGTGCAGGTTGCGTACGTTAAAGATCCCTTAGTGGTCTAAAGTCGATAAGAGTAGGCTTCGGCCGCCACCCGGGCAAGATTCAAAATTTCCTACTTACTGAAAATGTTTAGTGTGTCCCGCGCGCTCATGTGCCCATTATGCATTTGTGAGGGCCGTAAAACACCTACCCATTTTTTTTTTAATGAGAAGACTATCGACACAACAAAGGTCATACTCGTACTAACAGGGGGAAAGATCTGCTGCTCAAAAAGAAACCCAAAGCCATTCCTAAAACTACTCAAATGCTGCAAGTGGATACAAGATCCATAGAAGAGTTCAAATACATGTACCTAGCTACACGCTATTATTGTGGAGGAACTTTCATTCAACCAGACAATGCTTTTCGAACACACCAGTTCAACCAGCCAAGGTCAAAAATACGCTCACGTTGGCCTACATTAGATTTTATGGATATTCTTTTCCCACAACCCAGACTGTAGCCTGATACACATTAATACTAGGGTCGTTCAAAAAGTTTTGCCTCCTCTCCAATAGCTTCTAAACTATTCAAGATATCTTCATGAAATTTGTACACAGTTGACTTTCAAATGTATACTCTCAAACACGAAAACAAAATAATGCTATGATGTCACACCTTTATGCTATTGCTGTTTACTACATAGAAGCTAGGCCTAGAGTGCATTATCGCCGAGAAAAACTTATGAATGCTGTTATTGAGTTCCTTACAGCAGAGGGAGCTGCACCCATTCATACGCGAATGAAGCTTACCTAGGTGGGGCCTATGGTGAAGCATATGTAGATGTAAGTACTGTTCGAAGATGGGCAAAGGAGTTCGCTGAAACCACATGAAATTTTCGAAGACGGCATGCGACAACTTATTAGACGCTGGCAGATCTGCATCGACAAAGATGGCGACTGTGTTGAAAAGTAAAGGCATTGTCATGTAGCAGACATCCTAAGCTTTCATTTGGTGTATAACTTTGGTATGTAGCATCAGTAATAAAGAAATTATGAACTTGGAGACAAAACTTTTTGAACGACCCTCGTATTCCAGTTACCTAAAGAAACTTCCTGAGAGTGAGGTCCAAATGTCAAATGATTTTATGGGACAAAAAGAGCATACTAAGACAGGGGTCTGTCGAGGGGTTAACACTTTTTCAAGCCCATTAAAAATAATATTTAAAAAGGAAACTTTACAAAAAACATTTTCCTTTACAAGTTTCGGCTGGTGGTAACCGCTTGCCCGAATGTGGCAATGTAGGCCCACCGTAAAAATTAGAACCCTGATCTCATGTTCAGAAATTGTTCATGAACTTGTGTTAAGTTGTGTAAGCGATGTGTAAGCGTGTGCGTGTGATAAGCAAGTAGATGTGTGTGTATGTGTGTGTGTGTGTGTGTGTGTGTGTGTGTGTGTGTGTGTGTGTGTGTGGTGTGCGTGTG